CCGCAATTATTTGCATTGTAATAGATGGCAGCAGATGGTTGAGAGCAAATTCGATTACGGCAAAAATATTTATTATGTGGTTGAATAGGGAATTGTTTCATTATTCAGCACTAAAACGTAAAAAAATAAAATATTCACCTTGCTGAATTGGAAAAAACTAGCTGATTTCACAATTCAGCAGGCTGAATAGCAATAAAATATACAAAGGATGAATATTAATTAAGAAAAAATCAATATTTTTCCAAATTTCGTTATATTCAGCTAGCTGAATTGAAGAAAATGCAACTGAATTAGAAATTTAGCAAGCTGAATAGCAATAAAGGATGAATATTAATCAAAGAAAAATCAATATTTTTCCAAATTTCGTTATATTCAGCTCGCTGAATTGAAGAAACTGCAGCTGAATTGCAAATTCAGCTAGCTGAATACCATATTAGCGAAGAAAAATTCAAAATTTTGCAAATTTTATTATACTCAGCTAGCTGAATTGAAGAAAATATAGCTGAATTAGAAATTCAGCTAGCTGAATAGCAATAAAATGTCCCTAAGTTGCATTTTATTTAAGTAAAAACTCAAAACATTTAAATTGTAGTATATTCAGCTAGCTGAATTGAAACAAATGTAGCTGAATTGCAAATTCAGCTAGCTGAATAGCAATAAAATGTCCCATAGCTGCATTTTAATTAAGAACAAAATCAAAGCATTAACAATTTAGTATATTCAGCTAGCTGAATTGAAGAAACCGCAGCTGAATTGCAAATTTAGCTAGCTGAATAGCAATAAAATATCCCAAAACTTGCATATTAGCAAAGAAAAATTCAAACTTTTGCAAATTGTATTATACACAGCTAGCTGAATTGAAGAAAATGCAGCTGAATTGCAAATTTAGCAAGCTGAATAGCAATAAAATGTCCCAAAAATTCAAACTTTTGCAAATGTTTTTATACTCAGCTCGTTGAATTGAGGAAAATGCAGCTGAATTACAAATTTAGCAAGCTGAATAGCAATAAAATGTCCCATAGTTACATTTTAATTAAGAAAAAATCAAAACATTTAAATTTTAGTATATTCAGCTCGCTGAATTGAAGAAACTGCAGCTGAATTGCAATAAAATATCCCAAACTCCCATACTAGTGAAGAAAAATTCAAAATTTTGCAAATTTTGTTATTTTCAGATAGCTGAATTCAATAAAATGCAGCTGAATTAGAAATTTAACAAGCTGAATAGCAATAAAATGTCCCATAGTTACATTTGAATTAAGAAAAAATCAAAACATTTAAATGTTAGTATATTCAGCTTGCTGAATTGAGGAAAATGCAGCTAAATTGCAAATTCAGCTAGCTGAATAGCAATAAAATATCCCAAACCTTGCATATTAGCAAAGAAAAATTCAAAATTGTGCACATTTTGTTATATTCAGCTAGCTGAATTGAAACAAATGTAGCTGAATTGCAAATTTAGCAAGCTGAATAGCAATAACGTGCCTCTTAAGTGCATATCAATCAAAAAGAATTCAAAAATGTACACTTTTTGTCATATTCAGCTATCTGAATCAAGGAAAATTAAGCTGAATTGCAAAATTTGTTTACAAAAACTTTTCTAAGGTCCCAGATTGGCACAGATTTTTTTAAAATATTTCTTTAAAGCCCACCAACAGGCGTGGATTTTTTTTAAATATTTTTCTAAGGCCTAGTCCAAGTCGTGGATTGTGGATAGCATTTGAATGGGTTTGGTACTATGTTGCGTATAATTACTTACTTAATAATTATACGCCACCCTACACAGAATAGGAATGTTTTCTTATTGAATGGTCCATATTTAAATATTTTCGTTTGTCGTATACGACGGGGTTCCAAGAGTGTTCCAGACAATACACACACACTCACTCACTCTTTCAACTCCACCAGAGTGATGACAGTGATAATAGTCTATATACATAAAGGCAACGAGTCAAGTAGAAGTTCTGCCATATTCCCAAAAGCCCAGGAGCATAAAAAAATAATACCAAAAAAAATATAACGTATAATGTACGACAATTTAAAACATCAAGGAGGTTACTTAAACTAAAGCAACTGGATTGTGTGGTAGCACACAGAAGCCATTTATGGCCAGGACACAGAAACAGAGAAAGGGCGAGCAAGAGAGAGTGAGAGACAAAGTGGCGAGGGAAACCCCCAACTGTAATCCTAATGTCATCAACCGGACAATATGTTTGCTTATTTGAATAATAAATTTTAGAACAAGTGTTGTTGGTTTTTCCTGTTTTTGTAAATATAAAAAAAATCGTTTTTTTAACAGAAAGGAGTCATGTGGTACCAAAAAAAAAAACATAATAAGTATGCCGACATGTTGAAATTCCAACAGTCCTTATTCTCTTCCCTGTATGTGGAAATTTGTTGTGTAAAATAAAAATAAATATTTATAAAAAGTTTTTTTTTTCGTTATGGAAAAGGAAAATTTTCAAGACAAATGTGATATTTATAGTTTGGTATTCCCTGTGTGGGAGGTATGCAGGATATTTTTTACAGAAAAACCACAGGGTGAATGACCAGAAAATCTATCTTTTCTTCTATGGGATTTTGGTGATAACAAATTCCTGTGAAGTATTATGTTCTTAGCCAAATATCGTATTAGGTGTTTGCCTCTTCTTCTTTTTAAAAATTACATTAAATGCCCAAAAGTTAAGAAGTCTTCAAAGATTTTTATCTACTTATGGACTTAATTTTAATTTGATATTTTGCAAGAGGCTTATTTTCTACATTGAATCAATGGGCGGATGAATAATACATAAAGTGTCATCACTAGGCCTTAGAAAAATATTTGTAAAAAATAAACTCCGTGATCCACGCCTTAGACTTGGCTATAGAAAATTAATTTTAAACCAGTAAGGAAAGTAGGAAAGTCGGACTGGACCGACTATATGATACCCTTCACCACATTGGGTATATTCTACATATGTATCCTTACAATTGCATGTCAATGTTCCTTCGAAGGAGCATAATTATGTCTTTCTGCAACCTATGATAAATTTAATTTCATTCGAGCAGATTTAGACCATGGCAAAAATTTATGGAAAACGAGAATTGATACACGCTATTCAGTGTTAAAAATTTCATTTCGAAATACATATGGATGCTATGGCTGCATCTGCACCGTTCTAGACTCAAATCATTACGCTATGCCAAATATAAAGTGACTCTGGTGCACTATTTACCTAAATTCGCGAGAATATATGTGAGCCATATCTAAATCTGAACCGATTTTCACGAATCTTAACGCACATCATTACAGATGCAATTCAGTACGCTATGCTAAATTTCGTGTAAATCGAAGGATATATAGGGACTTTGGTGCAATATTTACCTAAAGTCGGACGAAAATATATATGGGAGCTCTACATAAATCTGAACCAATTTTCAAGAAACTTGACACTCATCATTCTAGACCCAATTCGGTATGTTATGCCAAATTTCGTGCAAATCGAAGGATATGTAGGAACTTTGGTGCACTATTTACCTAAAATCGGACGAAAATATATGTGGGATGTATATCTATATCTAAATCTGAACTGATTTTCACGAAATTTTACACACATTGTTCTAGACTTAATTCAGTACGCCATGCTAAATTTCGTGCAAATCGAAAGATATTTAGGGACTTTGGTGCCCCATTTACCTAAAATCGGACGAAAATATATATGGGAGCTATATCTAAATCTGAACCGATTTTCACGAAATTTAACACACATCGTTCTTGGTTTAATTCAGTAGGCTGTTCCAAGTTTCGTGCAAATCGAAGGATATATAGGGACTTTGGTACACTATTTACCTAAAATCGGACGAAAATATATATGGGAGCTATATCTAAATCTGAACTGATTTTCACGAAATTTAATACACATCTTTCTAGACTTAATTCAGTACGCTGTACCAAATTTCGTGCAAATCGAAAGATATTTAGGAACTTTGGCGCACCATTTACCTTAAATCGGACGAAAATATAAATTGGAGCTATATCTAAATCTGAACCGATTTTCACGAAACTTAGCACTCATCATTCTGGACCCACTTCAGTGCCATATGCCAAATTTCGTGCAAATCGAAAGATATATAGGGACTTTGGTGCCCCATTTACCTTAAATCGGTCGAAGCTATATATGAGAGCTATATCTAAATCTGAACCGATTTTCTTGAATTTCAATAGGGTTCATCCTTGGGCCAAATAAGTGACTTATGCCAAATTTCATTCAATTCGGATCATAAATTCGGCCTGTACTTTGTTTACAATTTAACATGCATAAATCGACTCAGAAAGTGATTCTATGCATATTCTCAAAAGGAACCGTGTGTCTATCTCGTTTCCTTTTGCCCAAAGCCATAATATCCTGTACCACCATGTTGTGAAGGTTGTAAAAATGTGAGGTCAACAGCACCTCTTCATTACATTGACATATTTTTCGAATATTACCAATATTCAGTATAGCCCTTCTAATTACTTGTCCATAGGTTGTCCGTAGGTTGTTTTTGTGATTTTCGGCTTATAATTGTATATCGAATCGAAAAAACACAAAAAATAAGTTTTCGGTCCACTTCATCCTAAAATTATTATCTGATCATCACCGAAAATAATAGGCGTTCTGGTGTCCTTCAGGAGTAAATATATACGCTATAGAATACAAATTTTGTAATTTTTCACACAAAAGTCAGGGTCCATTTGACCCGCTAAATATCCACCGATCTTTATCAAAACTATCATGCTTATTCTTTGGCCCAATCCCTTTCTCCTTGCAAAAATTCGAGATGTTTGAGCCATAATTGCGGCATGTAGAGCGATCATTTCTCAATATACCTGACAACATAGTTGTGTAGGGCATAGAAATCCCAGCCTATTGGTAGCCTCTAGAAAAATATTTTTAAAAATCCAGACCTATTTGTTGGTCTTAAAAAATATTCTTGGACATTTTTTTAATGAAAACATTTTCTTATTTTTTCTTTTCCAGATATTGTGTGGAATTTGAAGTCTTAAGAAGCTCCAAGGCCTGCCATAAACTGCCGCCCTATAATCTCCTGATCGAAGGTATTTATTTAGGTTTTTTAATTATTTTTTTTTTCATTTTATAATATTTCTTTTATCCCTTGTCAGGTGATCGCATTGTGGTACGCTGTGACATGGAGGCCTATATACCCGATTTTATGCCAATGGATGAAATGGTAAATACAACCAGCACCACCAGCACCTCCAAACACAACAACAATCCCTCATATAATAAACAACAAAAATATGAACTGCCCAATACCTCGGCCATTATGGATGAGGAGGAAACGGATATGGATGCTGACAGTGATGAAAATATGATTGAAGATACGAGCAGTAGCAGCAGTAACAGTGATGAGGAACATGATGAATATGATACCGCATCGTTGACCCAAAAATCATCGGCCAGTAGCAATGCCAGTCCATCTACCAGCACCACCATCACCCACAGCAGCAGCAGCGCATCGACAACAACGACAACCCTTTCACCCTATCCACCATTGCAAATACGACAATTCCATTGTCGTGGTGAGGGTCTGCCGGGACGTACAACACGATGGAGTGCCTTGGCAGCACCCTCATGCCGTGGCAAATGGCTAAGATTGACACTCGACACACCCAAGAAATGTACACATCCCCAGTTTGCATTTGTTTAAATTCGCCATTGCCTTCGGAGGGTCCTTCGAAGGTGTTGGCAGGAGGGAAGGAAGGAAATTGAGATAATTATTTAAAACAATTTTTAAATTTTATTTTCAATTTTACCCATCATAATTGAGTTATAAGTAGTATTTAGCATTTAGTTTTGTTTCCTAACCCAGTCCTTATTTATTTCACCTAGATTTTAAGTGAAAAAAAATCGATAAAAAAATTCTGAAAAAATAAATGTTCATAGATATTAAGTCCCACACATCATCATCTGCAGCATTAGCTCTACTCTCAGCAAAAACACGAAATTTCTTCCATCAATAAAAAAAAAACTCATCAAACCAGGTCCCCAGAAGGCGGACTGCCCCAAAACCCCTCACCCACATGACTTCCCTACAGGTCATCCACCTCCCCAGAAAAAAATTAACATACATTTCATTAATTAAGTAACAACAAAAAAAAATACATTATTATATATGATAAATATAAACAACAAGAACAACAACAAGAAATAATAATTGCATTAGATTGTACTTTCTTTAAGAAAAGTATTATAACAACAACAAAAATAAATTAATAAAAAATATATAATTTTAAATATAAAATAAAATAAATAGAATATTGTTGTATAAATTTTCCATGGAGCCAGGGTGGAGGTAAGAAAAAAATTCTTGATTAAATTTTCAATTCAACACCAACAATACTCTACTATTATCCTCAAAATTTTAGGGGGGAACCATAAGGCTTCAGGGCGTTTTACATTACACACAGAAACACAGAAAGCAGAGATGGGAGTATTTTAAGGACATAAAAAATATTTTTTAACCAATGAGCGGAGCAGTACGATACCCTACACAACTACCACAGAACTCTATCTTTCGGCGGATTTTTATTCCGAATCTATATAATATTTCGTGATAGTTGCGCCCTCTTGCCCGCCTAGAGGTCATCAGCACATCTTCCTTACCCTGACATATTTTCCGAATATTACCAATATTCAGTAAAGCCATTCTAATTACTTGTTCATATTTCCATCCAGAGTGGCGTAGAGGATGATAGATACCAAGCAAACGGCTCTAATTGGCTTTACCATGGCGAAGTCCTGGCTTATCTTGGTCCAGGCTATTTCATCTCAATTGTGGATACTGACCTCCGCGCGGTGTCACCTGAGGTAGGTATTTTCATCACCCGTTGAAATAGTGAGCTAATATGTCCGCGAGTTCACCCATAAGAACTATAAAAAAATGGGTTGAGGCGTCGGGCTAGTTGCCCACACTCGGAAAACCCAACCTAAATTTTACCAACGAGTATATGGGAGCTATATCTAAATCTGGACCGATTTTCACGAAACTTGGCAGACATCACTCTAGGCTCAATTCAGTATGTTATGCCAAATTTTGTGCAAATCGAAAGATATTTAGGAACTTTGGTGCACCATTTACATAAAATCGGACGAAAATATATATGGGAGCTATATCTAAATCTGGACCGATTTTCACGAAATTTAGTAGTCATCACTCTAGGCTCAATTCAGTACGTTATGTCAAGTTTCGGGCAAATCGAAAGATATATAGGGACTTTGGTACAACATTTACCTTAAATCGGACAAAAATATATATGGAAACTATATCTAAATCTGAACCGATTTTCACGAAACTTAGCACACATCATTCTAGACCTAATTCAGTAGGCTATACCAAATTTCGTGCAAATCGAAATACATATAAGGACTTTGATACACCATTTACCTTAAATCGGACGAAAATATATATGGGAGCTATATCCAAATGTGAACCGATTTTCAGGAAACTTGACACACATCATTATGGACTTAATTCAGTACTCTATGCCAAATTTCGTGCAAATCGAATGATATATAGGGACTTTGGTGTACTATTTACCTTAAATCGGGCGAAACCATATATGGGAGCTATATGTAAATCTGAACCAATTTTCACGAAACTTTGCAGACATCATTCTAGACCTAATTCAGTAGGCTATACCAAATTTCGTGCAAATCGAATGATATATAGGGACTTTGGTGCACCATTTACCTTAAATCGGACGAACCTATATATGGGCGCTATATCTAAATCTGAACCGATTTTCTCGAAACTTGGCACACATCGTTCTGCACCTAATTCAGTACTCTATGCCAAATTTCATGCAAATCGAATGATATAGAGGGACTTTGGTGCCCCATTTACCTTAAATCGGACGAAAATATATATGGGAGCTATATCTAAATCTGAACCGATTTTTCCCAATTTCAATAGGGTTCGTCCTTGGGCCAAATAAGTGAGCTGTGCCAAATGTCATCCAAATCGGATAAAAAATGCGACCTGTACTTTGTTTACAATTTAACACCAACAGACGGACGGACGGACATGCATAAATCGACTCAGAAAGTGATTCTATGCATATTCTCAAAAGGAACCATGGGTCTATCTCGTTTCCATTTGCCTGTTACAAACATATGTACAAAGACATAATACCCTGTACCATAGTGTGGAGAAGGGCATAAATAGGGGGTTATATGGGGACTACCCTAAAAAGGGGGCGAATATTAATAATTTTTGGTAGAGAGATTTGTTACCATATACGACTACAAAATACCAAATTGCAGCGAATTCGGTTGAAAAACGCGCTCAACAACCCCAAAATACCGAAAATTGGGGGGTACCCTTATATGGGGGATATCCGAAAAAAGGGACCTATATTTATAACTCAAAGTACCTATTAAGAACTCAAAGTACTAAATTACAGCGAATTCGGTGGAAAAATACGATCAAAACCCCCCAAAATACTGAAAATTAGGAGGTACCGTTATATGGGGGCTACCAGAAAAGTGGACCTATATTTATAATTTTTTGTGGAGACATTTAGTTCCCAATATGAACACAATGTACCAAATTTCAGCGAATTCGGTTGGAAAACGCGCTCAAGAACCCTTAAAATGCCGAAAATTGGAGGGTACTGTTAAATGGGAGCTATCGACCGATATACCCCATCTTCGAACTTGACCTGCCAGCAGACAAAAGACAAACATATGCAAAATTTCAGCACCCTATCTCAATTCCTTCAGAAGATAGCGTGATTACAACAGACGGACGGACGGACATGACTAGACTGTCTTAGAATTTTACCCTGATGAAGAATATATATACGTTATAGGGTCGGAAATGAATATTTCGATGAGTTACAAACCGAATGACAAAATTTATATACCCTCCATACTATGGTGGAGGGTATAAAAATGTCAGAATTTTCCGGATTTTCTTAAATATTAAAAAATATTTTTGCAAGCCCTACCTACAGGCGTGGATTTTTATACCCTTCATCACACTGTGCATATGTTTGTAACAGGCAAAAGGAAACGAGATGGACACATGGTTCCTTTTGAGAATATGCATAGAATCATTTTCTAAATCGATTTATACATCTACGTCCGTCCGCCTGTCTGTCTATGTTAAATTTGAAACAATGTACAGGTCGCATTTATAATCCGAGTTGGATCAAATTTGGCACTTGTCACTTATTCGGCCAAAGGACGAACCCTATTGAAATTGGAAAAATCGGTTCAGATTTATATAGCTCCATCCGATTTAAAACAAATGGTGCATCAAAGTCCCTACTTATCTTTCGATTTGCACAAAATTTGGCATAGAGTACTGAATTTGGTCTAGAATGATGTGTGTCAAGTTTCGAGAAAATCGGGTCAGATTTATAGCTCTCATAGCTCTCATATATAGTTTCGACCTATATATCTTTCGATTTGATCGAAGTTTTGCACAGGATACTGAATTGAGTCTAGAATGGTGTGTGCCAAGTTTCGTGAAAATCGGTTCAGATTTAGATATAGCTCCCATATATAGTTTCGTCCGATTTTATGTAAATGGTGCACCAAAGTCCTTATATATACTTCGATTTGCACGAAATTTGGCATAGGATATTAATTGAGTCCAGAATGACATGTGCCAAGTTTCGTGAAAATCGGTTCAGATTTAGACATAGCTCCCATATATAGTTTTGTCCGATTTTATGTAAATGGTGCACCAAAGTCCTGATATATACTTCGATTTGCACGAAATTTGGCATAGTGTACTAAATTAAGCTTAGAATGATGCGTGCTAAGTTTCGTGAAAATCTGTTTAGATTTAAATATAGCTCCCATATAAATCTGCGTCCGATTTAATGTGAATGAGCCACCAAAGTCCCTATATATCATTCGATTTGCACGAAATTTGGCATAGCGTACTGAATTAAGCCTAGAATGGTAAAGTCTGAGTTTCAGGAAAATCGGCTCAGGTTTAGATATAGCTCCCATATATTTATAAATAACTCCCATATGTAGTTTAGTCCGATTTCATGTAAATGGTGCACAAAAGTCCCTATATATCCTTCGATTAGCACGAAATTTGGCATAACGTACTGAATAAAGTCTGGAATGTTGAGTGGTAAGTTTCGGGAAAAACGGGTCAGATTTAGATATAGCTCCTTCATATATTTCCGTCCGATTTAAGGTAAACAGGCCACCAAAGTCTCTATATATCTTTCGATTTGCACGAAATTTGGCACAGCATACAGAATTAAGCCTAGAATGATGTGTGTTAAGTTTCGTGAAAATCGGTTCCGATTTAGATATAGCTCTCATACATATTTTCGTCCGATTTAATGTAAATGGCGCACTAAAGTTCCTTCATATATTTAGATTTGCATGAAATTTGGCATAAAGTTCGGAATTAGGTCCAGAATGATGTGTGCTAAGTTTCGTGAAAATTGGTTCAGATTTAGATTTAGCTCGCATATATATTTTTATCGTTCGTTCAATTTCATGTCAATGTTCCTTCGAGAAGGGGACGTCTGTTAGGATACAGTCGGCTCAGTCCGACTTTACTACTTTCCTTACTGGATAAAAATATGTTTCTAAGGCTTTCAAACAGGCGTGGGATTATTTAAAAATAAATTTCTAATACCTTTCAAATATCCCATCCCTGTTCCCTAATATCCATTTACATGTTAAACAATATTCCCCCTCTCTCTCTCCCCACTATCCATTTCCGTGAACATGGCCCATTGTTTACATGTGTCCATGTAATAAAATTGTATAGTGTGGTTTTAGGCGCTTTTGGAACAAACGGTATTATTTACAATTGTTATGCTGGTAGTGTCATCCACAACGACCAAAACAATGAGAGGACATTGTGTTTTCACTTCAATACTCCCCGCCTCCCTCAACTCCTGCTCCAGCTTCTAAATTCACAATTTTCAAATAACAGTGACAAATATCCACAAAAGACATTCCGGCAAAGCTCCATCCCTCCCTGTCTCCATCCTCCTTCTCTCCCACCGATGTTTTGGGTTTGGACATTTGTTTATTGCCCGCCATTATTAACTCAAGTCTGTTGTCTGTGGTTGTGTTATTTTATAATTGCATAATGTTGTATAATTTATCGTTCAGTTCCCACTCCCACTCCCGCATGGCAATCACTCAGCCAGGATAGAAGTCGTAGTCGTTGGGGAGTAGTCTCCAAGGTATGAGCCAGTATATTCCTGGTAATTTCATTTAAATGCTTAATATGCTTTGGGATAAGTGTCTAAATTCTTTGCAGTTGTTGTTGAGATAATAAAACAAAGACAGAATGAAGAAAGACAAAGAAATTCTTCGAAGTAGCCCGAACTTCTTGGTGGAGGGAATAATTCAATTTAGAGCTAATTTTTAATATAGAACGTCAGGGCATTAAGCGTTAATGTTGACTCTTAATTTTTTTGGGGAAAGGAAAATGATGTTAATTTTCTTTGCGTTGAGCAATGGCGGAATAATTAGATTTCCGAATAAATTCCCAAAGTGTCCGAATGGGTGGAGCCATTAGGTATAGAATGTTTTGGATGGATTTGGATTTTTTTAAATATTTTCCTTAGGCCTACCTAACTTTTATGCCCTATACAACTATGTTGTCAGGGTATTGTAGCTTTGTGCAGCCCCAAAAGTTTGTTACGCCGCGAAATATTAGTCCTAGACCCACTTTTTAATTATACCGATCGTCATATCTCGACTAGCTGGGTCGATCTAGAAATGTGTGTCCGTCCGTCCGTCTGTCCATTATAATTTGTAAACACGATACAGGCCACAGTTATGGGCCAATCTTCACGACATTTTGCATGTAGGACGGGTTTTGGCCAATGAAGACCCCTATTGTTTTTGGTAAAGATCCGCTAATATTTAGGGGGTAAAATGAACCAAAAACTTTATTTTTGTCTGATTTTCTGCTCGGTCCAGAGGGCGCAATTATGGCCCAAAAATTGCGAATTTTTCATGGAGAAGGGACCAAGGAATAAAAATACCTGTTGTGATAAAGATAGACTAATATTTAGCGGGTCAGATGGACCCTGACTTTTGTGTGAAAAAATGACAAAATATGTATTCTATGGCGGACATAGACCCGAGAAGTTGATGGTATATATAAGAGGATACCAATTACATTGTCGTATGTACTCGGATGTGAGAGTTACACTTAAATACTTACAGGTGCATACGTATTCAGATATTATTTAGTAACCCATTACCACCCTATATGGCGAAAATATAGCGCTGATCGCTTTGAAATTTTCCATGAGGATACAGGTATCACCAAGGACAACGCCTATAATTTGCGGTGATGATCAGATAATAATATTGGGATAAAGTGGACCGAAAACTTAATTTTTGTGTTTTTTCGAGTCGATCTGTAGGCCACAATTGAAAGCCGAACATCACAACACAACCCACGGTGAAGGTCAAGAGAGTGCAAATATTGCCCAAGATCAGTATCATATGGTCGGCCCCGTCCGACTATACTGCTCCGCTCACTGATTAGAAATATTTTTTAGGTCTCCACAATTTTTATACCCTCCACCACAATGTGGTACTGGGTATTATGTTTTTGTGCATAGGTTTGTAACAGGCAAAAGGAAACGAGATAGACACATGGTTCCTTTTGAGAATATGCATAGAATCACTTTCTGAAACGATTTATGCATGTCCGTTAGTCCGTATGTCCATGATAAATTGTAAACAAAGTACAGGTCGCATTTTTGATTCGAATTGGATGAAATTTGGCACATATAAAGTCCCTACATATCGTTCGATTTGCATGAAATTTGGCACAGCGTACTGAATTAGATCCAGAATGATGTACTCTTAGTTTCGTGAAAATCGGTTCAGATTTAGATATACCTCCAATATATATTTTCGTCCGAGTTTATGTAAATGGTGCACCAAAGTCCCCATATATCCTTCAATTTGCACGAAATTTAGCAAATTAAGTCTAGAAAGGTGTGTGTTACATTTCGTGAAAATCGATTCAGATTTAAATATATCTCCCATATATAGTTTCGCCCGATTTTAGGTACATAGTCCACTAAAGTCCCTATATATCTTTCGATTTGCATGAAATTTGGCATAGCGTACTGAGTTAAGTCTAGAATGATGTGTGCTGAGTTTCGCGCAAATCGGTTCAGATTTAGATATAGCTCCCATATATATTTTCGTCCGATTTAAGGTAAATGGGGCACCAACATCCCTATATATCCTTCGATTTGCACGAAATTTCGCATAGCGTAGTGAATTAAGTCTAGAATGATGTGTGCAAAGTTTCGTGAAAATCGGTTCAGATTTAGATATAGCTCTCATATATATTTTCGTCCGATTTTATGTAATTGGTGCACCAAAGTCCCTATATATCTTTCGATTTGCACGAAATTTGCCACAACGCAATGAATTAGGTCTAGAATGATGTATGTAAAATTTCGTGAAAATCGGTTCAGATTTAGATATAGGTCCCATAGATATAGGTCCGATTTAAGGTAAATGGGGCACAAAAATCCCTATATATCTTACGATTTTCACGAAATTTGGCATAGGGTACTGAATTATGTCCAGAATGAACTGTGCTAAGTTTCGGGAAATTCGGTTCAGATTTCGATACAGCTCCCATATATATTTTCTTCCGATTTAAGGTAATTGGTGCACCAAAGTCCCTATATATCGTTCGATTTGCACGACATTTGGCATAGCGTACTGAATTGAGCCTGGAATGATGTATGTCAAGTTTAGTGAAAATCGGTCCAGATTTAGATATTTCTCCCATATATATTTTCGTCCGATTTAAGGTAAATGGGGCACCAAAGTCCCTATAGGCTTTTGATTTGCACAAAATTTTGCATAGGGTACTGAATTAGGTCCGGAATGATATGTGCTAAATTTCGTGAAAATCGGTGCAGATTTAGATATAGCTCCCATCAAGGTCGTACGCAGTGGGGCGGCCCGGGGGTCCCGGGCCTACCCCGGAATAAAATTGTTTCACAGTAAGTTTTTGTTCGCAACAGCCAATTTTTTCATTTTGTAAATTTTCGAACTATCACGTATTTAAGTTCGTTCAATTTCGTATCACTGTTCCTTCAAAAACGCGACGTCTGTTAGGATACATATGTAGAATATACCCAAAGTGGTGAAGGGTATCATATAGTCGGCCCAGTCCGACTTTACTACTTTTCTTACTGGTTTAAAAATAATTTTCTAAGGCCTATTTCAAGTCGTGGGTTTTTTAAGATGTAGAGTTTCTATAAAACATTTCTGAAGGCCTACAAATAGGCGTGGAGTTTTTATGAATATTTCTGAAGGCCTTCAAACAGACGAGGAATTTTGAAAAATATATTTCTAGGGCCTACCTACAGGCCTTTTAATATACTCCCAATTTTTTCTAATTCTGTTTTTATACAATTTTCCTTCATCTAATATATTTTTTGCAATTTTTTTTCAAGTATAACAGTTTGTATAACAGTTTTCAAACTGTTATACAAACTTTTATACTACTGAAAAATTGCAGAAAATCATAGAACAGTATTTATATTGCATATAACAGCTTGTATAACAGTTTTAAACTGTTATACAAACTGTTATACTGCTGGAAAAAATTAAAAAATTATTTTTTTTTAATTTTTTAATAAAAAAAATTCCGTTTAATTTCCATAAAATTTATTTCGTATCTTATTTTATTATATAATATTACTTAATGACTATATATTTTACACTTAAACAAATACAATTTTCGTTTCGTTTTATCTTCCCGTTTTTATGATATCTTTTTTTATAAAATTACAAAAACAAAAGGTAAAAATAATAATTAGTTAAACAGTCTCCATAATTGTTTGCGAAATAATTGTTCATACTTTGGCATTTTCTCTCTGTGTTATTTTTCTTTCAATTGGAAGGGCAAGTGGGCGGTTTCTTTTTTTTTTCGGTGAGGAGGTTTTTTCTTATAATCTCGATACACCTTCATTGATATAATAATCGGGATTTTCTTGCATACGATACAGTTTCGCATCAATTAAATGCGTCTCATCGTTCAGTGAATCACAGTCGTTGTTATTTTTCGAATTTAAATTATTTTCAAAACGCACTTTCATATCGAGTTTTTCTGGAGGTTCTACGACATAACGTCCATGGCCATTTAATTTGATCTCTTCTTCATTTTTAAGATTTTGTTTACATTCATATGTGGATGCGGAAGTTTCTTCCTCTTCTTCTTCCTCGTCCATGTCCAACTGGCCCTCCTGCTCCTCGCTGACTTTGTTCAGGGGCGTACCCAAAAAGCTACTGAAAACAATGCCATGCTGATTGGCATACATGGCATAGTCGCTGTCATCGATGTTATAACCCAAACTGACACGCCGAACATCGGTTTTAATCGACAGCAGAGTATTGAAGATTTTACGAAATGATGGACGGTCCTCCGGATCGGTGGACCAGCATTCGGACATTAGCGTGAATCTGGAAAATTAAAAAAAAATGATGGATTTAAAAAACAAAAACATCTAAGGCCCGAAATAGATGCGGATTCCTTTAAATATTTTTTTAAGATCCACAACTAGGCGTGGATTTTTTAAAAATATTTTTTGAAGGCCTTTCTACAGGCGTGGATTTTTTAAAAATATTTTTTGAAGGCCTTTAAAAATATTTTTTGAAGGCCTTCCTACAGGCGTGGATTTTTGAAAATATTTTTTGAAGGCCTTCCTACAGGCGTGGATTTTTTAAAAATATTTTTCGAAGGCCTTCCTACAGGCGTGGATTTTTTAAAAATATTTTTTGAAGGCCTTCCTACAGGCGTGGATTTTTTAAAAATATTTTTTGAAGGCCTTCCTACAGGCGTGGATTTTTTAAAAATATTTTTTGAAGGCCTTCCTACAGGCGTGGATTTTTTTAAATATTTTTTGAAGGCCTTCCTACAGGCGTGGATTTTTTAAAAATATTTTTTAAAGGCCTTCCTACAGGCATGGATTTTTTAAAAATATTTTTTGAAGGCCTTCCTACAGGCGTGGATTTTTTAAAAATATTTTTTGAAGGCCTCAAATTTAAAGCCCTTCTTATAGCAAACTCACAATTTATCTGGACAATTATCCGGCTGCTCCAACCTTCCACCCTCCTTGACAAATGTCAATACCTCGAAATTATTACGTACAGCATAGGGTTGCTGGCCCAGGGTTAAAATTTCCCAACACAACACCCCAAATGCCCAGACATCGGATTGTGTGGTAAATACTCCATCCACTAAACTTTCCGGTGCCATCCATCGTACCGGAACCAAGGCTTCACCCTCTTTGCGATAATAATCACTTTTATAAATATCACGGGCCAGACCGAAATCTCCAATCTTAACCACACGTTTACTGGGCACTCGCGATGAAACCAAACAATTGCGACATGCCAAATCACGATGGACAAAATGCATATCCTCTAAATAGGCCATACCGGTGGCCACATCAATGCACATGGTCATGAGATCCAGCAGCTGCAGAGAGGCAACGGGTTTCTGCAAAGAGAGGGGAGGGAGAATAAAAAATAATCCAGCATTGTATTTTTATTTGAAATCCTACCGTTGAATTTGGTCTCGATTCCCGCAGATAGCTAAGCAAGTCTCCACCCTCCATATGCTCCATTATGATCGATATCGATTCGGTATCACAGCAAACCCCAATCAAACGAACAATATTTTCATGTTTGAAATTGCTCATCAGCTGGGCTTCCTGCAGCAATTCGGCAAATTCACTGGCTCCTTTGCGAAGGGTCTGGAAATAAAAAATTTTTTTTTGAAGAGAGAAAATTATATTTTCTTCGAAATGTGATAGAAACAATGTGTATAACAGTTTTTCAAAACTGTTATACAAGCCTATAATTATTTAAAAATGTGTTTTTAGGTAAAAACAGCTAAATTACGCTGTATAACAGTTTGTATAACAGTTGTTGAAAACTGTTATACAGCCTGAAATAGCAGTTACACAAATCAAATAGTGATTAGAATTGTATTTGTGTAAAAATTAGTGAATTTTTGAGTCTAAAAACATGTATAACAGTCTTCATTAACTGTTATACATACAAAATATGTTTAGAAATATGTATTTATTACAGAAAATCATTCTACGTGCATAAAATTGGAGATAAAAATAAGTTTTATATGTGAAAAATAATATTTTCTCTGTATAACAGTTAGTATAACAGTTTCCTAAAAGTGTTATACAAATTTTAAAAACTGGCTTACATAAAAAATGCATGCTAACAATACATATGTCTGTGACTAAATCAATTTTCATGTAAAAAAATCTTGTATAACAGTTACCAAAAACTGTTATACACAATAAAAATTAACTAGAACAACAGTATCACATATGAAATATAGATCAGATATGTATTTGTATATAAAGAAGTGAATTTTTTGTGTATACAAATATGTATAACAGTTTTCAATAACTGTTATACGCACAAAATATTTTTAGAAATGTATATTTAATGCAGAAAATATTTATGTGGACTTTAAATTGTTGTTAGAAATAATGTTTAAATAAAAAATGGACATTTTCCCTGGATAATAATTAGTATAACAGTTTCCTAAAAGTGTTATACAGTTCCTAAAAACTAGTTAACATACAATATTTATATTAGCAATTCATCTGTATGTGAATAAAGGAAATTTCATGTGTAAAAGCTTGTTATACATACTTTTCCGTGTATAATAGTTAGTATAACAGTTTCCTAAAAGTGTTATACAGTTCTTAAAAACGAGCTGACATGCAATATTTAAATTAGAAAAAAATGTTGATATTATTAATGAATTTTCATGTATAAAAGCATGTATAACAGTTTTCAAAAACTGTTATACACAAGAATTATTGGATAGAAATTTGGTTTTATAACAGAAATTAATGTGGAATACCTATTAGTTTGCTTGGAATTTAAATGTTATGAGAAAAATAATTATTTTCGGTGCACAACAATTCGTATAACAGTTTCAAAAAACTGTTATACAGTTTAAAAATCCCGTAGTTACATACAAAATATTAATTGCAAATCTACTTTTGTATCAATTAATGAATGTTCCAAAGTAGATATAAGGTTATCCGAATAGTGTATAACAGTTACACAATTTTGTATAACAGTCACAAAAATGTGTAGAATACATTTAAAATATATTTGAGATCACTTTGTTACAAAATTTATTCATTTAAGCATACATTTTCTTTGTATAACAGTTTGGAAAATGTGTATAGCAGTTTAAAATTTTGTATAACAGCTTTAAAAATGTGTATAACTGTCACAAAAAATTATATTTATTGTCCTCTTATCACATTTATTTATTTTAGTCAATGTCTTTTTTGTATAAAAGTTCGGAAAATGTGTATAACAGTTTTAAAAATATGTATAACGGCTTAAAAATTGGATATTAGTTTGCAAGAAATATCAGAATATCATATTAATAAATTTAGTCATTTTATGTCTAACTCTTCTTTGTATACTCCATTCAAAAAGGTGTATAACAGTTCAAAAAATTGTGTATAACAGTTTTGAAAAATATTTATGTCTCTTTTAAAATAATATTTAATTATCCTGTTATCAAATTTCTTTATTTTACTCCATGTTTTCTTGGTATAACAGTTTCAAAAATGTGTATAACAGGTTTACAAATGTGTATAACAGTTTTAAAAATGTGTATAACAGTTTAAAAACTTTAATAAACTGTTACGTTATCAATTTCTTTTATATTTGCATTGATTTTCTGTGTATAACAGTATCGAAATTTTGTATAACAGTTTTAAAAATTTATATAACATTTTTAAAAATGCGTATAACCGTTTTAAAAATTTATTAAATTGTTATATTATCAAATTGTATAACAGTTTCCAAAATGTGTATAACAGCTTTAAAAATGTGTATAACAGTTTTAAATCTTTATTAATTCTTTTATATTTGCATTGATTTCCTGTGTATAACGGTTTCGAAATTTTGTATAACCGTTTTAAAAATGCGTATAACGGTTTTAAAACACCAGTTTATTATTCTGTTAACAATTTTTTAATTATTTATACCGATTTTCTGTGTATAACAGTTTCGAAATTTTGTATAACAGTTTTGAAAATGTGTATAACAGTTTAAAACCCACATTTTATAATCCTATTATCAATTTCATTAGTATTTACATTGATTTTCTGGGTATAACAGTTTCGAAATTTTGTATAACAGTTTGGAAAATGTGTATAACAGTTTGAAAACATCATTTAATAATCCTATTATCAACTTCTTTTATATTTTAAGTGGTTTTTCTGTGTATAACAGTTCCAAAATGTTGTATAACAGTTTCGAAATTTTGTATAACAGTTTAAAAAATAAATATATTTCTTCATTTCTTAAATTTTCTCTGAATACCAGTTTTAAATTTTTAAATTTCTGTTTTCTTCTTCTTTTTCGTCCACTTACCTTAATGGCCACCTTTTCGGGCGTCTCATTATCCTCGTGCTTCAGCAACCCCTCATAGACTTCACCAAAGGCACCACTACCCAAAAAATTCAACAATGAAATTTGACTCCAATTAACATGCGGCAGCAGGGCAATGTCAGCATCACTCAATGGCCCGCCTGTGTACATGGTGGCATTGCTGGTCATGGAGAAGGCACGATTCCGATCGAACTGCTGTTGCATGCTCGACACATTGCTCCATATGCTGGGTCGGCTTTTGGCCAATAGTTGTTTGGCTTTCAGGCGGCGTTTGTGTACTAAGGGAGGGGTGGGGTAAAGAATAAATAAGAACTGATGAAATGAATGGGAGGATGGAGTTTTCGGTGACCTACCTTTGCGTATCACAAACAGAATGATGACACAAGTGGCCACAATCACCACCGGTGCCATTATGGCCAATACCAAGGAATTACGCTTTTGCGGTGACACATATGGTTCGAGAACACGTTCACTGTCCTCACTGTAGGCACCCCAACCGTACTCGTGGCTGTGGGCCCTTACCCTAAACATAAGCAGTCGCAGGGTGTGCAGCTGCCGGACGATGCAACTTAGCTCTGTGGTATTGCAGACCACAATCCATTTGTCTTCGATGGGTTGTAGCTCCTCAGCCCAGGGTAATTGGGAAATTACACTAATGCTGGAGGTATAGTTGAGGTAGGAAGCTACTGCCTCACGTCGGCTACGTTTTACAGTGCGGGCCTGCAAGCCTTCAAGGCTGTATTGAAGAGAAGCGGCACCATGCCGCTCTGCCGCATCCCATTGGATTTTAAAGATCTCACCACTTATGTGCTCCAACATTGGACGTCCCGGGCGGCCAGGTACTGTGCCCAAAGTTTCATAGATAAAATGTGTGCTGGGTTCGGTGGGCCAAATATAGGCCTGCTCGGCCTGGGGATATGTTAATTTAAAATAGAATTCATATTTCGTTTTGGGTTCCAAATTGGTAATGGTCACATTGCCGCTGAGGTGGGTGATGTCCACACTAAATGCGGTCTCGTCGGGGTCCTGACTGTGCGGTAGACATTCCAAAATAACTGAACGGTAAGCGATACTACTGGAATTCCAATAGAGAGTCAAATTGCGCGGCTGGGCATCGAGCAGAAGTAATGGTTGTGGTTCGGCATAGGTATTGATGGTCAATTTTTCGGTACTGTTCGTTTCGACCCCGCCGTCAGCATGCACCGAAACCCATAGGGAATATTTCCGTAGAGGCTTCAGATTCCGAAGAATATATTCTCGTTCCTGCAAATCGATGCGATAGCCACGCGAAGCACCCTCTTCCTCAAAGCTTAGGGCATACTCGACCTGGGGAGCATTTAGTTCTTGGGGTTCCTGCCAACTGACATAGACTTCGCTGGGACTGATAACAATGACTGAGAAATTCCTTGGCTGTGTGGGAGTACCGGGATTTGTGAGGACCTTAAATGCAGGATAGTGGGTCTCATTTAGCAGCAATTTTTGTTGATAATAGGAGCTGGCCTTTAGTTGCAGGGTGTAATTGGTGTAGGGCCTCAGATTGGTAATATTTAGTTGGCTGAAATTACCAATTAAATCAAAGGTCTCTGTGTAGGATTTATTGTCCTCCACGGTGAGTTGGTACCTCAAGCCAGGTATGGGTAGGGAGCAGGGGCCAAGGAAATTGTGCTGAGGCAGTTGGAGGTGGATATATCGTTGACCGGTTTCTTGGACAAGTAAGTTCTTCAGGAAATTACTTTGTTCGGCCCCTTTCTTCTTTCCTTCGGCTTCTTCTTTCCCCTCACCCTCCTCCTGATCCTGCTCTCCCTCCTCTTCCTCCTGAGGCCACCTGGCTGGCAGCAAACACTCCTTCCTCGGATAACTTTGATAATTAAAGGCCTTGATGACTTTCACCTCTCGCAATGCAACCGCATAGTCCACCGAATGCTTCCTCCGACTATAAGCCTTTATCGTACGATTATATAGCATATAAATAAATTCCGTATCCCTTTCAAAATCCCGAATCTCAGCCACGTTCGTAAGCGGAATTTTCATCTGGGTCAAAATTTGCCTTTCCACCTCGTATGAATATAATTTGCCATTGGCGCCCAACAGATTTACCGATTCCATATCCCTTAGACCTGAATCTTCGAAGATTTTCTCCAGCGGCGTAGGGGGGAGATTTCTCCATTTCATCTCCATTAAATTTCCCAGGTCGCGGGACTGTAAAATCCCACCACCACCCTCCGTTTCCGGATCATATTCCAACCACAACAACAATTGCGAATAGGGCAAGACCAAAAGATCACGTAAAAGCCGACCATTGCTGAGAGAAAATAAATGTTGACCCTGCATTATTTTACCCTCGTAGAGATTCAGATCCAGCGTGTAAATATCCACCGGATTCTCTATATCTCCCGACAGCTCAGCCCAATAAACTTTGCGTTGAATCCAATCGACGGCCAGAGATAAAACTTCAGCCCGCATGCGAGCCAATTTAAGGGCCGGGGTACCCGGTTGATAGGTCATTAGCTCCACATTTTCATTAACCCATATTAGACGTGCTTCTCCGGGCATCACCACCATATGTTCCACTTCGCTGGAGGTGTGCAGCCATATTTTTGTGGTATTCAAATCCATATCCAATTCGCCAATATATTCCGCCGTGCTGAATAACAACTTCGGCCTCGATTGGGCTTGCGGATTTATGTGATAGCTTACCAGGGCGGATTTCTCACCGCCCTTAGAACGTGCCAGAGAAAATGCCTGTACCTGGAACATATAGGTCTCATCCCTTTGTAAATTATAGAAACGCATTTCATGCGTCGCCAGACCCATATCTTCAACATCCTTGACCTGATACAGCTGATCCTTGTGCCAACAATAGACCTTATAGAATGCCTCCTTTTCCGAGCTGATATTATCCGGGGAGTCCCAGCGTACCAACGCTGTAATATTCATCTCATCCTCCTCCTCCGACAGAGGTTGGGGTACTGCCTCCACAAATACTCGTAAATTTTTCGGTTGCTTGGGATCAGCCGAGGGAGTTCTTAGCAAAGACCATGTTGTGGGACCTTTGGACCACCACGATTCCGGGGTTATGCTAACATTTATCATGTGAGAAGATATTTTCATTTCGGTGATTCTCAGCATAGGTTGGGATACCTCAAAACTCAAAATATCCTCCTGTGCGGAATCCTCCTCTGCCACTGAGGTCAATAGAACCCGATAGACGATTGGTAAATTTTCCGCACTTCCCACAGCCGGCCATTTAATATTGAAATCATCCCAGAAACCTTCAGTTATGCGTATACCCTCACGCTCCACAGCTTCGGGAATCACCAGCTGGTCCATATAACCCATAAAATCATAACGCAAGTTGAGGAAATTAACTCTATCATTGTGTTCCGAGGCCAGGGGTAAATGGATTTCCGACAATTGTTTGGGATATTCTTTGCGCAACACCATGGCCACATTTCCCCGTTCCCCACGGAGCCAAAGGAAGCCCTCTATTTCTTTCAGATACTGTAAACTTTGCTCCCTTACATTCACTTCGGCGGATAATTCCAGATATTCCTCAATTTTCAATAGCTCTACATTGGATCGAAATAGCTTCACCGCCTCTTCTTGGTGCTGAACCAGCCAATATAGCTCATCCGCCATAAAATCATGGGTGAAGCCCATAATACGCTCACCATTGCCATTAACATGATAATATTCCAATTCCTCCGCTTCGAGAGCTCCATTTAGGTAACGCCTCACCAAACGTGAATCGGTATTGTAAAACAAATAACCCTTCCGTGAGTCCACTTTAATTTGTCTGGCCTCAAAAATGGGCAAAATCTCTTTTTTCTCTCCCTGCAAACCGGCTCGGAGGACACAATTTCTCTTCACATCGGACCAATATAGCTTGCCACCACGCCAATCATAATCCAACCAGTAGACATTCTCCGCCCTGAAGCCACATGGGATTTCCGGATGCATTAGATTAAAACATTTCAATTCTCTCGTGTCGGAATTTACATAATACACGGAACTATTAACCTGTACAAAAGTTTGTATATTTTCCTCTCTGAGGCCTTTCAGTTCCACAGTTTCAGCCAATTCGTTGGTCTCATACAAACCCCGCTGGGTAGCCCATAACAAACGATGGTTAGCCATTGGCCAGGTGCGTGTCATCAACTCCTCAGACCATTCACTTGATTCGCTGGACATCCTACCACCCGCTGCCAAAAACATGGCCCTCACCTTAATTCTATATAAATTGTTTGCCTGCAGCCGTTCCACCTCGAAGTATCGCGTTCGAATGCCACGTATATTAAAGGCACTATTACTTGCCACATCCATAATTTCCAATTCGTATTCCCAGCTATGCCAACAGCCGTTAGATTGAAACTGCATTACCATTTCCGGTTCGGACCAACTTATTTTCGCCTTAGTATCTGAAACCACAGCTTGTAAATTGCCCGGACTCTTCAAAGGTCTCGGTATGGGTTGTATTATTTTAGCATCTCGACCAGCAAATAAGGGAATTATTTTCACGATATCCTTCAAATCCGACAAAGCAATAATATCCAACTTCTTATCCTCATCCTGCATAAGGAAATGTGTAGCATTCGTCGCCACAAGGAAATTATTATTCCAATAATAAAATCCCGATATATCTCCTTCGAATTTATATGTTACACGTTCAGGTAATTTCTGGCGATATATTCCATCATAGCTAAGTTCATAGAGCGAACGTTCTTCATCATCGAAGGTATTTAGCAGGAAATGTTCGTAATCATTTGAAAATGTCTGAATTGGTAGGGGACTGGGTATGAATGTGAGGTGTTTTGTGGCCAAATTTATGCGGATCAATTGTCCATTTGTGCTGGTGGCAAATAACCATCCGTTAAGAGGATCAATTTGGATTTTATGAAGAGGAGTTGTTAAATTTTCCGCCAATGTTTCCAGGACAGATCCTTGGTAATCGGTAACAATTATTTGCCAGGTGTCGGGGGAAATCTGAAAAGAAAGAAGGGAAAATTCACTTAGTTACTCAACGGGGATCACATGCGGTAACCAAAGCATTTCGGACACCCGAAGCATTAGGGATTATCGAAGCATTTAGGATCCTCGAAGCATCTGGGATACCTAAGGCATTTGAGATACCCAAAGCATTTTGGATACACGAGGTATTTAGAATACCCAAGGCATTTGGGATACACAAGGCATTAGAGATTCCCAAGGCATTTGGGATACTCAAGGCATTTGGGATACCCAAAGCATTCCGGATACCCGAGGTATTTGGGATACCCAATGCATTTGGGATACCCTAGGCATTTGGGATATCCAAGGTATTTGGGATACCCAAGGTATTTGGGATACCGAAGGCATTTGGGATATCCAAGACATTTGGATACTCAAACGATTTCGGATACCCGAGGTATTTGTGATACCCAAGGCATTTGCGATACCCAAGGCATTTGGAATACTCAAGGAAGTTGGGATTCCCAAGGAATTTGGGATACCCAAGTCATTTAGGATACCCAAGGGATTTGCGATATCCAAGGCCTTTGGGATACTCAAGGCATTTGGGATACCCAAGAAATTTGGGATACCCAAGAAATTTGGGATACCCAAGAAATTTGGGATACCCGAGGTATTTGTGATACCCAAGGCATTTGCGATACCCAAGGCATTTGGAATACTCAAGGAAGTTGGGATTCCCAAGGAATTTGGGATACCCAAGTCATTTGGGATACCCACGGCATTTGCGATATCCAAGGCATTTGGGATACCTAAGGCATTTGAGATACCCAAGACATTTGGGATACCTAAGGCATTTGGGATACCCAAGTCATTTGGATACTCAAACGATTTCGGATACCCAAGGCATTTGTGATACAGAAGGCATTTGGAATACTCAAGAAAGTTGGGATTCCCAAGGAATTTGGGATACCCAAGTCATTTAGGATACCCAAGGCATTTGCGATATCCAAGGCATTTGGGATACTCAAGGCATTTGGGATACCCAAGAAATTTGGGATACCCAAGTCATTTGGGATACCCAAGGCATTTGGGACACCCAAAGCATTTGAGGTACCAAAGGTTTTTGAGCAACTCGAGACATTTCGGATACTCAAAGCATTTAACATACCCACGACATTTGGATACTCAAACGATTTCGGATACCCGAGGTATTTGTGATATCCAAGGCATTTGCGATACCCAAGGCATTTGGAATACTCAAGGAAGTTGGGATTCCCAAGGAATTTGGGATACCCAAGTCATTTAGGATACCCAAGGGATTTGCGATATCCAAGGCCTTTGGGATACTCAAGGCATTTGGGATACCCAAGAAATTTGGGATACCCAAGGCATTTGGGATACCCAAGGCATTTGGGATACCCAAGGCATTTGGGACACCCAAAGCATTTGAGGTACCAAAGGTTTTTGAGCAACTCGAGACATTTCGGATACTCAAAGCATTTAAGATACCCGAGGTATTTGTGATACCCAAGGCATTTGCGATACCCAAGGCATTTGGAATACTCAAGGATGTTGGAATTCCCAAGGAATTTGGGATACCCAAGGAATTTGCGATTTCCAAGGCATTTGGGATACTCATGGCATTTGGGATATCCAAGGCATTTGGGACACCCAAGGCATTAGGGATAGCCGAGGTATTTGGGATACCAACGGCATTTGGGATACTCAAAGCATTTCGGATACCCGAGGAATTTGGGATACCCAAGGCATTTGGGATATCCAAGGTATTTAGGATACCCAAGGTATTTGGGATACCCAAGCCATTTTGGATACCCAAGGCATTTGAGACACCCAACATATTTGGGATACCCAAGGAATTTAGGATACCCAAGACTTTTCGGATACTCAAATCATTTGGGACACCCAAGACATTTGGGATACCCAATACATTTAGGATACCCAGGGCATTTGGAATGCCCAAGGGATTTAGGATACCAAAGACATTTCAGATACCCACATCATTTGAGATTCCCAAGACTTTTGGGATACCCAAGGCATTTTGTATACCCAAGGAATTTAGGATACCCAAGACATTTGTGATACCCAAGGCATTGGGATACCGAAGGCATTTGGAATACCCGAGGTATTTGGGATACTCAAAACACTTCGGATACCCGAGGTATTTGGGATAACCAAGGCATTTAGGATACTCAAATCACTTGAGATACCCAAGGAACTTGGGACGCCCAAGGAATTTGGGATACCCAAGACTTTTAGGATACTCAAATCATTCGGGATACCCAGGGAATTTGGGATATACAAGGCTTTTGAGATACACAAGACATTGTGATACCGAAGGTATTTGGGATACCCAAGACATTTTGGCATACCCAAGGCATTTGAGACACCCAACATATTTGGGATACCCAAGGAATTTAGGATACCCAAGACTTTTCGGATACTCAAATCATTTGGGACACCCAAGACATTTGGGATACCCAATACATTTAGGATACCCAGGGCATTTGGAATACCCAAGGGATTTAGGATACCAAAGACATTTCAGATACCCACATCATTTGAGATTCCCAAGACTTTTGGATACCCAAGGCATTTTGTATACCCAAGGAATTTAGGATACCCAAGGCATTTAGGATACCCAAGACATTTGTGATACCCAAGGCATTTCGGATACCCAAGACTTTTAGAATACTCAAATCATTTGGAATACCCAAGGAATTTGGAATCCCCAAGGCATTTGGGATTCCCAAGGGTTTTGAGATACCCAAGGTATTGCGATACCGAAGGTATTTGTGATACCTGAGGTATTTGGGATTCCCAAGGCTTTGGAGATACCCAAGGCATCGGATACCGAAGGTATTTGGGATACCTGAGGTATTTGGCATACCCAAGGCATTAGGGATACCCAAGGCATACTCAAATCATTTGAGATACCCAAGGAACTTGGGACGCCAAGGAATTTGGGATACCCAAGACTTTTAGGATACTCAAATCATTCGGGATACCCAGGGAATTTGGGATACACAAGGCTTTTTAGATACACAAGACATTGTGATACCGAAGGTATTTGGGATACCCAAGACATTTTGGCATACCCAAGGCATCTGAGGTGCCCAAGGAATTTCGATACCCAAGGGATTTGAATTTGGAATACCCAAGACATATGGGATACCCAAGGCATTTAGGATACCGAACGCTTTGAGTATCCCAAAGACGTTGGTATCCCAAATGTCTTGGGACTTTGACTCGAAATATTTCCTCCACTTCCTTACTCACCTTTCCGGCAACATAAAGACGAAGATTTAACCAATCCACTGACACTTTATTGGGCGCAAAAGTCACACTTTCCAACTTCAAATCAATCATCGAGTAATTCAAGGGATTTTCAATATAAAAACTGAAACGAAGGAGAAGAGAAAAACCAGTAAGGAAAGTAGTAAAGTCGGACGGGGCCGACTATATGATACCCTTCACCACTATGGGTATATTAAGCAGGACTATAACATAAAATTGGATGAAAAAAATGTGATATTTATCTAAATGTGAATCTACCTAGATCTATCCATAAAGTATGTCAATCGACTTCAAACAAATATAAATAGGTCATCCGTTGGGCTATGTCTGCACTTCTAGAAAACGCAACTACGTAATTCTATGCTCAATTTTTTAAGTTGTGCAAAATTTGATGTCAATCTGACTAACATGAGGAGTTTGATGCCCAATTTACTAGAAATCGGGCGAAAATATATATGGAAGCTCTATCCAAATATTGATCGATTTCAAACAAACTTGTCACAAGTTAGGTTATACAACTTTCAGAACGTTTTATTCCAATTGGTTCCTTAGTACGTCTATTACTTAAAATCAATCTATAATAAAAGGGAGCTACAGTGGCTCCATCGCATAATCGGACAAAAGGCGTATTTACTAAAACCAGAAGATTTTTGGAAGCAGGTAATTTGATGATAGATCATCTTAAAATACATTTTTATTGATAGTTTTCATTATATTATGGTTCTGTTTACTGACGAAAGCAAATTTAACTTGAACGGGTCAGATGGAAAGATGTATGTGTGGCGTAAGCCAAATGCTGAATTTAATCATAAGAATACAAAAGCCACTGTTAAGCACAGAGGAGGTTCTGTTATGGTTTGGGGCTGCATGTCGAGTGCGGGAGTAGACAATTTGCATTTTATTGATGGTAAAATGGACAATTTTGTCTACCTCAACATTTTAAAACAAAATGTAAAGCAAAGTGCAGACAAATTGGGTATCGCGAACAACTTTGCCTTTTATCAAGACAACGATCCCAAGCACACATCAGGTGTTGCAAAGCTTTGGTTGATCCATAACTGCCCAAAACTTATACAAACACCAGCACAGACCCCAGACCTTTACGTAATTGAGAATCTTTGGGAAGAATTAGGTAGGAGAGTGTATGGAAAAAAATTTAACTCCTTAGTACAGCTTAAGGTGGCTTTACTGGAATCGTGGAACTCCATAGAGCCGGAGGTATGCCAGAATTTGGTCAAATCAATACCGAGGCGTTTACAGGCCGTTCTGGACAACAAAGGATATGCAACTAAATATTAATTTCTCGATTTTTTAATTTTTTAACATTGATACTTTGCTTTGTCCGATTTTGCGTTGAACACAATAAATTGAGTTAATTTTGTTTTTCTGACGAAATTTACTGTTATCACTAGAAAAGTTGTTGTTTTTTGTATTGTTCAGAAATATAAGTAAGTAATGTGTAAATAAAAGCGAAAAAAACTACACATTTAGACAATTTTTTTGAAATGTATAGCATTATTATATCTGACAACCACTTGTCCGATTATTCGATGGAGCCACTGTATATCTAAATCTGGACCGATTTTCACGAAACTTGGCAGACATCATTCTAGGCTCAATTAAGTACGTTATGCCAAATTTCGTGCAAATCGAAGGATATATAGGGACTTTGGTGCACCATTTACATGAAATCGGACGAAACTATATATGGGAGCTATATCTAAATCAGGACCTATTTTCAAGAAACTTGGCAGACATCATTCTAGACTCAATTCAGTACGTTATGCCAAAATTCGTGCAAATCGGAAGATATTTAGCGACTTTGGTGGACCATTTACATCAAATCGGACGAAACTATATATGGGAGCTATATCTAAATCTGGACCGATTTTCTCCAAACTTGGCAGACATACCTCTAGGCTTAATTCAGTACGTTATGCCAAATTTCGTGCAAATCAGAAGATATATAGGGACTTTGGGCACTATTTACATGAAATCGGACGAAACTATATATGGGAGCTATATCTAAATCTGGACCGATTTTCACGAAACTTGGCAGACATCATTCTAGACCTAAATGATTAGGCTGTACCAAATTTCGTGCAAATCGAAAGATATATAGGGACTTTGGGGCACCATTTACATGAAATCGGACGAAACTATATATGGGAGCTATATCTAAATCTGGACCGATTTTCTCCAAACTTGGCATACATCACTCAAGGCTTAATTCAGCACGTTATACCAAATTTCGTGCAAATCAAAAGATATATAGGGACTTTGGGGCACCATTTACATGAAATCGGACGAAACTATATATGGGAGCTATATCTAAATCTGGACCGATTTTCACGAAACTTGGCAGACATCATTCTAGACCTAAATGATTAGGCTGTACCAAATTTCGTGCAAATCGAAAGATATATAGGGACTTTGGGGCACCATTTACATGAAATCGGACGAAACTATATATGGGAGCTATATCTAAATCTGGACCGATTTTCTCCAAACTTGGCATACATCACTCTAGGCTTAATTCAGCACGTTATACCAAATTTCGTGCAAATCAAAAGATATATAGGGACTTTGGGGCACCATTTACATGAAATCGGACGAAACTATATATGGGAGCTATATCTAAATCTGGACCGATTTTCACGAAACTTGGCAGACATCATTCTAGACCTAAATGATTAGGCTGTACCAAATTTCGTGCAAATCGAAAGATATATAGGGACCGTTTACATTAAATCGGTTAAATATATATATGGGAGCTATATCTAAATCTGAACCGATTTTTCCCAATTTCAATAGGGTTCGTCCTTGGGCCGAATAAGTGACCTATGCCAAATTTCATCCAATTCGGATCATAAATGCGACCTGTACTTTGTTTACAATTTAACATGGACAGACGGACAGACGGACGGACGGACGGACGGACATGCATAAATCGACTCAGAAAGTGATTCTATGCATATTCTCAAAAGGAACCATGTGTCTATCTCGTTTCCTTTTGCCTGTTACAAACATATGCACAAAGACATAATACCCTGTACCACAGTGTGGTGAAGGGTATAAAGATCCAAAACTGTATACCAATAATATTTTTATCAATACCTCAACTTACCTAAACATCTGACCCTCACTATCCACCACAAATAATTGCCGTGTATGATGATTTACATCAAAATCTGCCACCTGCTGATCACTTTTAAATAAAGTTTTCGTTTCCTGCAAGGGATCCAGAGATTTCAATATAATATTCTGCCGTCCCGCAACAAGTAAGGTTTGAATATTCGGCTTCGTGGTAGGTATATTACTGGTAGGTATATTACGCTTGATTTCATTTTCCGCATATGGTCCTTCACCTTCTTCATTGAGCATGGATAAGCGTATTATGTAATTATCGTTTTCCGAGTTGGGTAGTATAATATACGAAGCATTTGGTGGTAGTAACTGAGGGGTTTGGGGAAAGATAGGTAAGATAATATATATATTTTGTTGTGGAATATAGCTCAAGTACTTACCATTTCATCGTTTATACCATTCTCGGCTTCATTGTTTTCCATTAGCTCCAGTTTGTAATTTTTCAGTGGGCCATTTGTAAATTTCCCCGGCTCCCAAAAGATCGCAATGTGTCTGCTACTTAATGCCAGGGCTTGTTTAATTATGGGCTGTGATATTGGTGCACCCATTGGTGGAGTGGTAAAAATGTCTGAGGCTGGAGTGTACAGTACATCGTCTAAATTTTGACCAAAGGGGATTTCGAAACGGAACTAGAGAGGGGGACATAAAATTAGGTTTCAGACTTTTCAAAATATATTTTCATAAATCTACCGTGGCGGTCTTTAAAAAAGAACCCTAAGCTGTGTATTGAGAAAAATTCCCATTGCTCTCAGGACATTTTGCAGTTTACACTTTTAACATCTTCCCCCCCACTACTTACCCTATATGCCACATATGGCACCAAACCATCCATAATATCACATTCGAAATTCTCATTACAATTGTAATCGGCCAAATTCCACCATTGTTTTGCAATATCCACATCCTGTTGTCCGTGTGAATCTTCCTGTTCCCCCTCATCGATGTTGCTTCTGATGATGGTATTGCTGCCTGCGGTGTCATTTACAAATGCTGACATTCTATTTGATGGCTCTGTTGGCGATGGCGCCCAATTCGTTCGCTTCATCACATATTGGTATTGTATATTAAATGGTCTGCTAGCGAAATATTGTGCTGGCAACTCATCCATGCCGATGGGCCATTTAAGTGTCAATGCGTTCACAACGTCAGTGTCATGCAACAGCTGGGGTTGAACACTCGTCACAACATGTTCGACCCGCAAACGCTGCAAGTGCCAGTAGTGTCGCTGTGATTGTTCGCAGGCGGAAATGCAGGGTAAATCGAAGGGATAGAATTGCGTAGAAGACTTGGGAAGAAAAAAAACGGAGAAGAAGAAGAAGAAAACCAAAAATAAACAACAAGTGGGGTAAAAAAGAAAGAAACCCAATGTTTTCTTTTGTTTGGTATGTTCCCAGACACACGCACAACAAAATACTTTGGTTTCATTTTCATCATGGTGAGAATACTTACACATGCTTCCTGGCAAGGCTCAAATTCCTTTAAGGCATTCCACCACAGTTCACAGCCTTTGAAACACTGCAACAGAAGGAGAAAGAAAACACAAAAAAAGATTAAAAAAATTAAAAAGAAATTGTGGACAAACGAGTAACAACATTGACACCGCAATCTTTGGGACCACCTGCAAGAAGGGAGCAAAGAAAAGGGAACAACAAGAAGGCAGCAGATGGACAAGGACATGTACAGTGGGGCGAAACAATTAACGATATGATATAACCATGTTCAGACATTTTCGATACCCAAATACATTTTATCACCCAAGACAATTCGGGTACCCAAAGAATTTCCGATTACCAAGACATTTAAAATACCCAAAGCGCTTGGATTCCGCTAATGCAATACCCGAAGCATTTCTGATACCCAAAATATTTCGAATACCCAGAACATTTCCGACATCCAAAACGCTTGGAATTCCTAAGACAATTGGTATACACAAAGTATTTGCGATACCCAAAACATTTTGGGAATACCCAAACTATTTCAGATACCCAATACATTTAAGATATCCAAAGCGTTTGGGATTCCCAAGACATTTGAGATACCCAAACTATTTGCAATACCCAAAGCATTTCGGATACCCAAAACCTTTGGAATACCCATGATATTTTCGATACCCAAAGTATTTAGGATACTCAAAGTGTAATTTGGAATATCCAAATCCCTACCGATAACCAAATCAGTTGGGAAACCGAAAACAATCCGGACGCCCAAAGTATTTCCAAACAGACATTTGAAATATTCAATGCACCCGGAATTTCCAACACGTTTAGGATTGTCAAGATATTTTAGATTCCCCAGTCATTTGGGGTTACACCAAGCTTTTTGATCCCAAGGAAATTCGGGAATCCCAAATACTTTGAGTATCCCAAATGTCTTATGATTGGAAAGGGCTATAGGTACCTGGTATGTCTTGGGTATCGGGAATGATTGAGTTTCCCCATATGCATTTGGGGAAACCTAAAGACATTTGAGACGGCACATGCGCCGTATTTCTCAAGACATTTGGTATTCTCAAGACATTCATTTGATCACAAGGTGATTCGGGTATCCCAAATATCTTATGAATCCCAAGTGCTTTGGGTATCTCAAATTTCTTGGTTATCCGAAAGTGAAGATTTTTGGGATTCCCAAAGACATTAAAATACCCAAGAAATTTCGGATACCCAAAGCATTTGGGATATCCAAAATATTTGGGGTATCCAAATATCTTAAATTTTGGATACCCAAAGCATTTGGAATACCAAAGACATTTCGAATACCCAAAGCCTTTCGGACACCCAAATCATTTCGGAGAACCGATGTACCCCCATTATTCGGTATTTTGGTGGGTTTGGGAACATTTTCAGTTGAATTTGTTTATAATTTATTCCCAAATCATTTGTGCTAACCAAAGTATTTCCGATTACTAGACGTTTGAGATGCTCCATGCGCCGGGAATTCTGAAGACATTTGGGATACACAAGGCACTTTTGATACCAACATAATTCAGGTATCCCAAATATCATATGAATTGCGAGTGCTTTGGGTACCCCAAATGCTTTGGATAACCAAAATTGAAGATATTTGGGATACCCAAAATGCCGATATACTCCCATTATTCGGTATTTTGATGGGTTTGGGTACATTTCATATCAGCTGAATTTGCTCTAATGCATTCCTATTAAAACTATCTATTTTGGTCTCCTTTTTAGTGCAGCTCCTTTCTTAGGGTACCCCCCAAATTTCAATATTTTGGTGACTTTGAGCACTTTTCTTCATCGAATTGGCTGTAATTTTATATTTTGGGTTCGCAGTACGCAGAACATTTTCCTACCAAAAATTATCACTTCTGATCCACTTTTTAGGGTCGCTCCCTTATAAGGGTACCGCCCAAATTTCGATATTGTGGAGGGTTTGGGCACATTTTCCAACCGAATTGGCTGAAATTTAGTATTTTGGGTTCTCATTGAGTAGAAAATCTCCCTACCAAAAACTATCAATATCGACCCACTTTTTAGGGTAGCTCCCATATAAGAGTACCTCACAAATTTCGGTATTTTGAGGAGCATGGGCACATTTTTAAAATGAATTGGCTGTAATTTGGTATTTTGGATTCTCATTGAGACAGAAAATCTTCCTAACAAAAATTATCAATGCTGGTCAATTTTTTATGGTAGCCCCCATATAAAGATAGCTTCCGAATTTCGATATTGTTGGGGAGAATGGGCACGTTTCTTCACCGAATTGGCTGTAATTTGGTATTTTGGATTCTCATTCTGTAGAAAATCTCCATACCAAAAAATATCAATATCGGTCGTCTTTTTAGGTTAGCCTCCACATAAGGGTACCTCAGAAATTTCTATATTTTGGGGAGTTTGGATACATTTTTCAACCGAATTGACTATAATTTTGTGTTTTAGCTTCTCACTGGGTAGTAAATCTTCCTGCAAAAAATTATCGATATTGATTCACTTTTTAGAGTAGCTCCCATATAAGGCTACCTCCGAAATTTCGATATTTTAAGGAGATCGGGAACAATAGTGAACCGAATTGACTGTAATTTAGTATTTTGGATTATCAGGGGGTGGAAAATCTCCCTACCAAAATTTATTGATTTTGGACCAGGTTTCCCAGCAGGCCCCATATAATGGTACCCCCCATTATTCGGTATTTTTAGTAACTTGGCCACATTTTTCAAACGAATTGCCTCTATTTTTTTAGGTTTTTGCAGCATTTTCCAATTTTTAGTTTGTCCTTTCGAATTATTTGAGGGTAAAATAAAGTTTTCAAAAAAAAAGTGTATGGGTCGAAGTTTTTATATGGCGCCCAAATAAAGTATCCATCGCCATTTTCGGTTTTTTTTTTATGTTTTAGCAGATTTCCCGATTGTAGTAATATGTCCTTCCAAAATATTGGAGGGTAAAACGCATTTTTGCAGAAAATTTTCTATGCAAAGGCAATTTGTGATTTAGCGCCCAAATAAAGGTTCCAATGAATATTCGAAATATACAGGTTCCTGTGTTGGCATAGCTTCCATTTTCTACTGAAGTGTTGCTGTAATTTTGGCGATGTTCCTTGTGATATGGCGCCCAACTAATGGTCTCATCCCATTTTTGGATATTTCTTTATATTTTAACATGGATTTTAAAACCGAATTTTAGAAATAGGTTCCCATAGCCTCCTTGAAAAATTCCTGTCTTATTGCTGTAATTTTGGCGATGTTTTGATATGGCGCCCAACTAATGGTCCCATCACATTTTCAGATTTTTTTAAGTTTTGGTATGCTTTTTCCCACCAAATTTCCGAAATAGATTCCTATAGCCTCCATAAAAAGGTGCTGCCTTATTACAGCAATTTGGCAATATTTTGGTCTAGCCTTTTAATATGGCGCCCAACTAATGGTCCCATCACATTTTCAGTTTTTTTAGTTTTGATGTGCGTTTTCCCCATCCAATTTTCAAAATAGTTCCTATAGCGTCCATGGAAAGGTCCTGCCTTATTATAGTAATTTTGGCGATGTTTTGACATAGTATTTTTATATGGCGCCCAACTAATGTTCCCATCCCATTTTTGGATTTTGTTTTAAGTTTTGGCATTTATTTCCCATTAAATTATCGAAATATATTCCTATAGCCTCCATAGAAAGGTCCTGCCTCATTGCTGCAATTTTGGCAATGTTTTGCTATGGCGCCCAACTAATGGTCCCATCCCATTTTCGGATTTTGTTTAAAGTTTTGACATGCATTATTCCACCGATTTTTCGAAATAGGTTCCTATAGCCCCCATAGGAAGGTTCTGCCTTATTGCTGTAATTTTGGCGATGTTTTGATATGGCGCCAAACTAATGGTCTCATCCCATTTCGGATTACTTTTTAAGTTTTAACATGAATTTTCCTACCGAATTTTAGAAATAGGTTCCTATAGCCTCCATAGAATGGTTCTACCTCATTGCTGTAATTTTGCCAATATTTTCACATAGGTTTTTGATATGGCGCCCAACTAATGGTCTCATCCCATTTTCGGATTTTTTAAGTTTTAACATGGATTTTCCCACCAAATTTTCAAAATTGATTTCTATAGACTCGATATTTAGATATTGCCATTTGATATGGCGCCCAACTAATGGTCTCATCCCATTTTTGGATTTTTTTTAAGTTTTAATATTTACTTTCCTGCCAAATTTTGGAAATAGATTCCTAAATTTTTTGGCGATGTTTTGACATAGTTTTTGAATATGGCGCCCAACATATGGTCCCATTCCATTTTCGGATTTTTTTAAGTTTTAAAATGCTTTTTTCCGCCGAATTTTCGATACAGGTTCCTATAGGACAGCCTATTCGCCCACAATGCAATAACATAGTCCCCATTCAAATCGTTCCGATCGATTTAAGGAATTTTGAGAATGACCACCACGTAGAGGGTACAAAAAGTTCGGCAAGGTCCTATAGAAAAACTTTTAATGATATTTTTTCTTCCTGTCTACTGTCCTGATGGGCATGAATGAATGCCTGAATCCGAATTCAATTATAAGCTTCTTTAATTGTTTCGATTTTTTTTCACAATCCAATGACTCGGAATTTTTCAGCCAGAGATTACACCACATTCCCTCAAACACACCGAAAAAAAAACAACAACAACAAAAAACCATGATTGTGTCTTGGAATCGTCTTTCCTGTCAATGTCAGGTTCTCATGGATAAAAGCCAAGAGTTAACAAGACCACATTATGGCTATTAAATTACAATATCAAGCCAAGCCATGACAAGACTTGCCTTACATCGTCTCGTCTGTCTGTCCAATGAGAATGGGTTCTGGCACTCCTTTGGCGTTGCTATTGTTTTTTGGATTGGATTGTGACGGTGACGTCGTCGTCAAGGTGTCTGGCTTTTTTAATTCAAATGTGTGTGTGTTCGTTCTCATCATCATGCCCGAACATTTAACGCTTGATAGCGTCGTCGTGCATTGTCGTTCGCTGGAATTGTCTCAAATTTCAAACCTCTGTAACATAGTGTCCTTGTACAAGTTTTGTTGGTGTTGTTTTTTTTTTTTTTGTTTTCTTATTGCTTTGTTGTCTTCTGACTCTGATTACTTTCCCGGTAAGAGAGGGTGTGTGAGCGACACACACAAAAATAGCTTTAACAAATGAGAACTTTGATTTCTCACACACACACAAATTGCGACAAAACAAAACTCAAAGAACATGAAATAATAACAACAACTGCAGCAACAACAACAAAACACAACTACTCAGGGTCACCGAATGTGTGTTTAAACATGCCCAAGTTAATGACAATGTCATTGCCTAGAAATGTAACAACCAAATGTGCGCTCAGCTGTTCACAGAGCCACACACAAACAGAGAGGGAAAGAGACTCACAATTCAATTGACATTGAGCTTTAGATATGGAGATGTTCGGAGATGTTAATCGATTGTGGAGATTTGTTTTTTCTTGTTTGGGGAACATTAATGAAAATTTGTTGTTGTTGGCGGTAGATTTTAATTAAAGGAACTTTTTTAGTCGAAATTTAGTTATCGAATTTATAATAAAAATATTGTTACAATTTTATAGGAACAAGTTGTTATTGATAACTTTACTTTTGGAAAATTTAGTTATCGATTATTTTCCGATGTAAAAAATATGTTATCGATAAATTCCCTTTCAAAAAAAGTAGTTATCGTTTCGATTTCATTTTAAAAATATGTTATCGATAACTTTTCTTTTGGAGTATATGGTTTTCGATACAATTTCATTGCGCAAAATTTATAATCGATAACTTTACTTTTTAAAAATGCAATTATCAGTTAAATTTTAATGCAGAAAAATTTGTATCGATAATTTTTCTTTCGATGAAAGTAGTTATCGCTAACATTTCGTTGCAGAAAATATGTTATCGATAATTTTTCTTTTTGAAAAGAAAGCATGTTATCGATACATTTTCTTTTGAAGAAAGTAGTTATCGTTAAAATTTCTTTTTGGAAAATATGTTATCGATAACGTTTCCTTTTGAAAAACAAGTTATCGGCACTAATTCTTTGCAAAGAAGATATTGTAGATAACTTTTCTTTTTGAAAATGCAATTCTCGGTCAAATAAGTTATCGCTAACACTTCGCGGCAGAGAATTTCTTATCGATAATTTTGCTCCATTAAATTTTGTTATCGATAACAGTTTTGCTATATAAAGAAAAATATGTTATCGATAATTTTTCTTTTTTGAAAATGCAATTATCGGTAAAATTTCCCTATAGAAAATATGTTATCGATAACTTTTTTTTTGATGAAATTAGTTATCGGTAACATTTCTTTGCAGAAAATTTGTTATCGATAACTTTTCTTTTTGAAAATGCAATTACCGATAAAAAAAAATTGTTATCGATAATTTAGTATATACAAAAATATGTAGTTATCGGAAATTTTTTGTAATATACAAATGTTGTTATCGATAGCTTTTATTTTAGAAAGGGAGTTATCGGCTACATTATATTATCGACAAATGTTCTCTACGAAAACGTTGTTATCGACCCTATTTCATTTTGGCATAACTGTTATCGATAAATGATCGATTTATAAAATGAAGTTCATTATCGATAGTTTCTTTGTTTGTTATCGATACATTTTTTACTGAATTTCTGTTATCGATAACTTGAAGAAATTAGTTATCGTTTACATTTCATTGTAGAAAATGTAGTTATCGATACCTTTACCTTCGAAAATATAATTATCGATTAAGTTGTGTTACAGAAACATTTTTATTGACAACTATTATATTTCATTTTAAAAAATGTGTTATCGATAAATGTGTTACAATAAACGTTATCGAGAATTTTTGACATAATAATTTTGTTATCGACAGATTTTTGTGATAAAATATTTGTTATCGATCAGATTACAGCTTTTATCGACACATTTTCTCCACTAAAACATTGTTATCGATAAATTATCGGGACATAAATATGATTATCTAAAAGTATTCAGCAATGAAAGTTTATTATCGATAAGTTTTCACTACAGAAATTATATTATCGACAACCTTTCGTTACCTATTGTTTGTAATCGATAACTTTTATATTGAAAGCTGTAGTTATTGGTTGAAATTAATCATAGAAAATCTATTATCGATAAATGTTCTATATTGAATAAAAACTTGTTATCGACTCCTTTTTTGTGATAGAAAATTTGTTATCGATAATTTTTTCTAGTTGTCAAAAATACGATTTCTTACAACCTTCCTTTGAAACCCTGTTATCGAAAAATGTTCTTTATAGAAAAATTGTTATCGATTGCATTTCTACAAACAAAACTTGTTATCGATAAGATCGATAACTTTTCGAAATGTAACTTTTGTTATTGACATTTTGTATTACAGAAAATTTGTTATCGATGACTTTGCTCAATGGAAAAATTATTATCGATAATATTTCAACCAGGAAAACTTAATATCGATAGCATTTATACAACAAAAGCTTGCTATCGATAGCATTTCTTCAAGGAAAAATTGTTATCAGTAACTGTGTTGTACATAATTGTTGTTATTGACAATTTTTGTTACAAATTTTCAATGGAAAATGTGTTATCGATAATATTTTGTACTACAAATGTTGTTATCGATAACATTTTGTAAAGCAAACGTTGTTATCGATAACATTTCTTTAGAGAAAATTAATATATCTAACGTTTGATATTATTATTGACGACATTTTTTTATAAAATATTACTTATCGATAACTTTTCTATATGAAAATTATATTATCGATATGTTTTATTAGAATATTTTAATATTATTAATATATTCCCAAAAATTTACATATTTTATATTAAAACGTATGTTAATTTTTAATAAAAATTGTTCTTATATCACTTACCCTTGTTCGATAACATTCCGTGCGATTATCTCCCGCTGAACATTTCACACCAAATTCATTTAAAAATTGTGTTTCCTGAAAAAAATCAAACAAAAAATAACAACAATGAGAGAAAAATATTAATTCTAATATTTATTATTATTTATTCGATTTTAATTCTGTTGTTCAATTATTTATTAAAATTTTAATTAGCTTATAATTAGTTGTTACATAAAAATTGCATTAATTTTTTGTTTTAATTTATTTTGCGGTTTCGAAATGTATTGAAAAAATTGTGTGGAAAATAATTAACATAAATTAGCAGGTGGATTGGGGGGGGGGGTTGTTGCTAATAACTTTCCTGGTGACGTTGCAGTATTATTGGGTAGGTAAAATACCAGGCACACACACACAGAAATAATCGAAAATCGTGAAGAAAAATATTTTTACAAAAAATTACTGTTTGGGAAACGATGAAAATTTAATTTCCTTGATTCTAATTGCAGATTATTATTCGTTAACTAAATATCTTTCGCTAATATCATATACCTAATTATCACGTTAACCACCTCCCCTCCCTCCCTCTCTCTCTCTCTCCCTTTCTCTCTCACACACACACACATTTTCCCAATTGCCTTTCTTAATTCATTGCCTTGAGTCGTTTTGTTTTTATGCTGCTGGCACATATCGTATCGTATATCAAATTTGTCATTTTGACAATCAAGATTATTGTCATTAGACGTCATGCTGATGATGCGAATGATGATAGCAAGCTACAACTGTAACCGATATATCATCCAACTGCCATTAAAAAAGACACACACACAGAACTGAACTGAGATACAATTATCGTTTTTCTGTTCTATGACGATGTAAGTGAACGAGCGAGCAATAAAGCAATTGTCTTCAATGTGGGTGAGTGTGTGTGTAAGTGCGTGCGTGTAAATGAACAGTGGGCCATAGAGTTATAGCTGAATTTTTTTCTATAAGAAATTTATTTATCGATTAATTTTTTTCTACCAAAAAAAAAGTTTATTGATAAATTTACTTTATAGAAAAATCATTTGCTATATATTTTTTAATAACAATAATTTTTTCCAATAAAAAATTTGTATCTATAAAATTTTTCTCAAAAAAAATTTGTTATCGATAACATCATGTTGGGCGCCACGCCGAAATGTGGACCTATACCTGAACAAAGAAGTTGGTGGGCCCACCAACAACCGTGGAAACCACATTATAGACATTTCGGATGGAAAAATGTATGTAGAACCTCTAAAATGCGGAAATTAGAGCGGGACATATAATGGGAGCTTTATCAAAAAATGGACTCAGATTGAAAAATTTCTTCCAAGGTTTCCCACAACATCAAATTCTAGACCCTGCGAGGGCCAAATTCAATTAAAACCCTCAAAATACCAACAATGTTGCGGAAACAAAACGTTGGGCGCCACCCTAAAATGGGGTCCCACATTTCTGCAAAGGAGCAAATTACAGTCACTTTGGCGGCTAAAATTTTTAAAATATCGAAAATACGGCGGAACGTTTAGTTGGAGGGTATTTAAAAATCTGGCGCCCAATATTAAAATTTTGTTCTAAAGAGGTGTGTATTAACCTCCACAAACCCGGGATGATAAATTACAGCCACTTCGAGTGGCAAAATGCTACTAAATCCTTTAAAATATCGAAAATGCAGAACCGAAGTGTTGGGCGCCACACTAACAAGTTGTCTTATGTGTCTGCAAAGAAGTTGTGAGTCCATCAACAACCCTGAAAATCAATTTAGAGGCACTTCGGCTGAGATAGTGCGGTTAAAACCTTCAAAATATCAAAAACATGGCGGGACGTAAGATGGAAGCTATGTCAGAATCTGGCTCCCAATGTTGGTTTTTTTCTGTATAGGTGTGTATTAACCTCCACTAACCTGGAATGTCATATTACAAGCACTTCGAGTGGCAAAATGTTATTAAACCTTTAAAATATCGTAATTGCGGAACCGAAATGTTGGGCGCCACAGCAAAAAGTGGACTTTTCTTTAAGTTGTGTGGACATTAAGGTCATATTAGAGGTTAAAAACATGAAAATATCGCAAGATGACAAAATACATTTCAACCATTCAATAGTTCGGAACCGGGGGACTATGGCAAACATTGGACCCCAGATTGAAATTTTTCTCCTCAAACAAATGCCAGCCACTTCGTTTGAAGATTGCTTCAAAATCATTTAAAATATCGAAAATGCGGAACCGAAATGTTGGGCGCCACATTAAAATGTGGTTCTAAATTTCTGCAAAGTAGTTGTGAGCCCGACCAACAAACCTGAAAAGCAATTTACAACCACTTGGGCTGGAAAAATGCACATAGAACCTTCAAAATACCGAAAATAGGCCGGGATGTTTAGTTGGAGGCTACGTCAGAATATGGCGCACAATATTGAAAATTCTCTCCAATTTTCACTCTTCGAATTACAGTCACGTGGGCTGGCAAAAATACGCATAGGACCTTCAAAATACCTAAAATGTTGCGGTATTGAGGCTCTTTTAGAATCTCTTTAGAAAATTTATTATCGATAAATTTTATCTATGGAAAATTTATTCTCGATAAATTTTCTTTATAGAAAATTTATTATCGATAAATTTTCTCTATGGAAATTTTATCGATAAATTTTCTCTATAGAAAATTTAATATCGATAAATTTTCTCTATAGAAAATTTATTATCGATAAATTTTCCCTATAGAAAATTTATTATCGATAAATTTTTCTCCATAGAAAATTTATTATCGATAAATTTTCTCTATAGAACATTTATTATCGATAAATTTTTCTCCATAGAAAATTCATTATCGATAAATTTTCTCTGTAGAAAATTTATTATCGATAAATTTTTTCTTTTGAAAATTTATTATCGATAAATTTTCTCTAAAGAAAGTTTATTATCGATAAATTTTCTCTAAAGAAAATTTATTATCGATAAATTTTCTCTAAAGGAAACTTATTATCGATAAATTTTCTCTACAGAAAATTTATTATCGATAAATTTTCTCCACAGAAAATTTATTATCGATCCATTTTCTCTATGGAAAATTTATTATCGATCCATTTTCTCTATGGAAAATTTATTATCGATAAATTTTCTCTATAGAAAATTTATTATCGATAAATTTTCTCTATAGAAAATTTGTTATCGATAAATTTTCTCTATGGGAAATTTTTATCGATAAATTTTCTGTATAGAAAATTTGTTATCGATCAATTTTTTCTATAGAAATTATCGAAATTTATCGATATTTTTTCCGTCTAGAAAATTTTTTATCGATAAGTTTTCTCTATAGAAAATTTATTATCGATAAATGTTCTCTATAGAAAAATTTTTATCGATACATTTTCTCTATAGACAATTTATTATCGATAAATTTTCTTAATAAAAAAATTGTTATCGATAAATTTGCTCATTCGGAAAATACTTAACGACAATTTTTTTGCTCCACTGTAAAAAAATGTTTGCTCACTTATGTACTACTTCGAATTTCGGTTATTAGCATACCATGTTCATGCACACAAACACACCACCCATACACACTCATTCACAAGACTGTAATATCATTTCAATGACCACCATAAAATGTATGTATGTGTGTAGACGACCTTATGACATACATACACACATAGTTAGTAAGTTATGATGACAATTTTGGTTTCGAAAAACAATGTTCATTAAACACCGTAATCATTGTAAGTAATGTTTTTCTTTCTATTTATTCTGGGCAGGACGGGGGTATAAAAAACGAAACAACAGTTGTTCGGATAATTTAAGGAATGTTGATGACGTTGATGCTAATCAACAGCTACAACAACAACAACACCAATTTATGATGGTTTGGAGGAATGCTGTGGACATTAATGGAATTATGTAATTGGATAGTTAATAAGATGTTCGGAGTTCTTTTTTTCGTATTCAGGAAATCTCTAGTCCAAAAACCTCCCTCCTCCTGCACTCACTCTTAATTTACATTTAATCTGCATATTTCAAATTCTCGTATTCGAATACAATTTGTGTGTGTGTCAGCTAAAGGGGCCTGTTAATGGAATCAGAACATGCTGACAAACAGAAAAATATCTTGATAGAAAATGTTCCACATTGGGCGCCATGTTTGGAAATGACCAACAACTAAAGGCACGGCCACATTTTTGGGCATTTTAAAGGTTCTAAGCGTATTTTTATAGCAGAAGTGGTTAAAATTAGGCTTTCAGGTTGGTTTGTGGATGGAAAACCTCTTTCGAAGACATTGAGGACCACGTTTTGGTATGAAGGTCCCGACACATTTTCGTAATTTTTTAAGATTTTCTAGCCGCATTTTGCCTCCCTATGTGGCTGTAATATGATATTCCAGGGTTGTGTAGGGTAATACACACCTCTGCAGAATATTTTCAACATTTTGGACTGTGACGTCCAACACTTCGATTCCGCATTTTCGATATTTTAAAGGTTTTAATTCGATTCGATTTCTATGTAAATGGCTGGATTTTTGACATTGTGGCAGGTTAAGGTCAATTTGTTACATTGGGCGCCAAATTCTGATAGGACCACAATTTTAAGAATTTCGAAGGTTCTCTTCGGTTTTTTTCCTAGCCTATGTGACTGTAATTTGAAGAGTGAAATTTTGCGAAGAGAATTTTCAATATTGGGCGTCAAATTCTAACATAGACTCCATCTAAACGTTCCGCGCTATTTTTGGTATTTTGAAGATTTTAGACGCATTTTCTCAGCCCAAGTGGTTGTAAATTGTCTTCCAGGGTTATTGGTGGATTTTTTGCAGACATTTAGGGTTGGCGCCCAACAGTTAATATTTTCAGGGTTTTAATTACATTTTTTCCCTCGAAGTCGCGGTAATTTGACAGTCTGGGGTTAGTGGAGAAAATTTTCAACATTGGGCACCAGATTCTGACATAGCTTCCATCTGAATCACCTGCCCAATTTTCGGTATTTTTAAGGTTTTAACTACATTTTACCAGTCCAAGAGGTTTTAATTTAGATCTCAGGGCTGTAAATGGACCCACAGCTTCATTGCAGACACGTAAGTCCACATTTTGGTGTG